TAACTATATAGCAGCAATTAACAACAAAATTCTGCCATACTTTAAAAATGGAAGTGTTTTTAATGATTTTAATCACCTTGAATTGCATATTTTTTTGCTAGAATTGACATTAGTTTTTTTTTTAATTTTTTTTTTTATTTTTTTTATATTTTATTTTAAATCTTTGTTGCAGATTTCACAAACATATGTTAAGCAAATGTGGAGCATTCTGCAAAAGAAATATTAACTCAATATTTCATAGAGTTTGAATGTAGAACAATAGGTATGATACATTGTACCTTTATACTCAGGCATCATATTTTCTTTCTCCACGTATGGTAGTTGACCCCATCAATTTCTTCATTCTTCTTGCAATTGTTTTTTTTTTTTTTTCTTTATGCATATGCTTGTTGATACCTTGATCATTTTTTTACTGTCTGCATTTGTTAAATATTGACATTGGTTTATTTTATTTTATTTTATTTTATTTATACTAAAAATGAATATACAATACACATGTTTCTCTCTTAAATGCCGTATATATAGATATCACCTCCTACACTATCAAAGATTATAATAGATATGAATATACATGTATACTCTTGATTGCTTTGAAAGAGCATGGCAATTCAGTTATACTTTTTTTTTTTTTTTTTTTTTTTTTTTTTGTTTTAATTCTTCATTGTTGTGTATTCTCCATGCTGTAACTTATACGCAACTCCATGATACTGAATTTGACATGTTTTTTTTGGCACTCATTACATGTTTAAATTCACTTGCTAACATTTTACAATTAGAGGCAAATGATAAGAAAGGAGTCTGATGCCAATTTTTTTTTTTTAATGAAAATATTGCAGCTATGATATAGGCTAATATCCAATTCTGGTAAACTGCATTGACTTATCATACGTTTCACAGAACTTTTTCAAATATAGCTTCTTTTTGTTTTTGTTTTTTTTTTTTTTTACTTTTTTAAACTGTCATTATATGATGATTTGCTTACTAAAATGTTTATGTGTTATCTATAAGTAACTGAAAATAATGTCTATTTGCCCACCAAAATATAGAATTAAAATTAGCATTACATTACATTACAATGGTTAATACCTTGCAACTGTTGGTAAGTGTGTTTGAGTATGATATGTGTTTGATTTATAGCCAACTCAAGCACACAGTAATTATTTTTTTCTACTCATTACATTTTTTAATTCAATTACTAACATTCTACAATTCAAGGCAAATGATGATTTCCGGAAAAACATTGGTATGATATTTACTTTTACTGTTGGCAAACTGTTTTGATTCTTCATTGCTTTGAAAGAGCATGCAATTTTGTTTTACTTATTTTTTAAAAGTTGTTTTGATTCTTCATTGCTATGTATTTTCCAATCTGTAAGACAACTCCATCACACTAAATTTGACATGTTTTTTTTAGCACTCATTACATGTGTCAATTTAGTTGCTAACATTGTACAATTAGAGGCAAATGATTATAAATAAGTCTGATGCCATTTTATTTCTAATAAAAAAATTGCAGTTATTATGATATATAAGTTGATATGCAACTCTGGTAAACTATTTTGAGTGCTCATATGCTTAACATAATTTTTTCAAATATAGTCTTTTTTTTTTTCTTTTTTTCTTTTTTTAAAGTTGTAAGTATATGATGATTTGCTTCCTAATATGTTTATGTGTTATCTATATGTAATTGAAAGTAATGACTATTTCCCTAGCAAAACATAGACTTAAAATTTACATTAGATTACATTAGAATGGCTAATGGCTAATGGCTTGCAACATAGACAAAGTCAGTTTCCAAAAGAACAAAACATAACCACCCAGCTAGCCCTATTAAGCATACTATTAAATGAGCCTTAAGATTAGACTCCAAGCACTATAGTCATCAAAACATTCCCACCTAAAATAAAGTGTAGGGTAGAAATACAAATATAAAGCAACTCTATATAGTTACCTAATTTTACAATTTCGATAACTAAACAAAACAGAAATACATATAAAGGATAAAACCTAATCTTACATTTTTTTTGCTGTAAATCTCCTCAATAGAACTGACAACCACTTCCTTAGAAGGTCCACCACCATTAGGAAATCCAACACCAAGCCTAGATGAGGATCCAATACACCGCAATGGAGTAGAGTCACCTGTGAAGCTTGTTGGAAATAAAAGTGATGAAGCTCACGACAACAAAGGAGGGAAAAATTGAAATGGCACTATGGACCTTTATCATCTTATTTTCTATTCTGTTACAACCGCCACCTGCTTGTATATAAATACCGTCCTTCATATTTCCAGAACAATCTTGAATAAATGAGTTTGTTTAGATATTTTCTTCCACCTTGCGTACATCACCATTTCCGGTGAGACAGATCAAGAAAGGCGTACAGTAATGCCTATCACCTACTCACTGGCTCGATCATGGAAGGCCTAGATACAGACGGTACAATTACTCCCCCGGTCGGAGAGCACACTCAATATGCAGCTTGGAGACGTATCAATCTCCTGAAAATTCAGCACTTCAGAGTGAAATATATGGATTAAAACAGAGTGTGATCCAAGCACACGTCAAATACTAAGACTACAGCTGCTGTGATATTAATCTCACAGTTCAACAAAGATAATTCTGTTCCTAATCATGAAGGCAAGTTTCCTATATCTTATGTGAATTTAATTTCATTATCTTCATCTACTTGGATCCTAGACTCAGGGGCAACGGATCATATAACATGCTCTATTGATTTCTTTGATAATTATCAAGCAACTTGTGGAGCTGAGGTAAGCCTGCCTACAGGAAATTCAATCAAAGTTAAAAATATAGGGGACATTATGTTAAATAAGCAGATCAGATTGAAGGATACTCTCCACATCCCATCCTTCAAATTCAATTTGATCTCTGTGAGTAAACTCTTGCAAGACTCTTGTTACAAATTGATATTCACATCCAGTCAGTGCATGCTTGATTCAGGATGCTCTTGGGGCTACAGTTGGTTTGGCTAAACTAGTGAACGGTCTGTATCTGCTGATAGATTCACCAAAGATACATGATGTTTTTCGAAGTAGTAATGCAGCACAATGTAATAGTGGTGTAATCTGGCACCCAAGATTAGGACACTTTCCTATGAATAAGCTTCAATTTTTACCTGACATCAAAGCTTCAATTACTAAGAATTTTATCTGTGATGCTTGTCACCTTGCCGAACACAAACGCTCACCCTTCCCCCTAAGTGTTACAAATTAAGAAGCAGCCTTTGATCTTATACATGCAGATGTTTAGGGCCCTTTCTCAGTTTGTTCATTGAAAGGAGAGCGTTATTTCCTAACTTTAGTTGACAATTACTCTCGTTTTACTTGGCTACATTTGATGAGAAATAAAATGGAGGTCAGACAATGCATAATGAAGTTTCGTGCAATGGTGTTTACTCAATTTGGAATCCTAATTAAAACCATTCGGACTGATAATGGAGCAGAGTTCAATATGGTAGAGTTTTTTTGCAGAAAAAGGGATTATCCATCAGAAATCATGTGCCTACACGCCGCAGCAAAACGCAGTGGTTGAGCGGAAACATCAACACATACTTAATGTAGCAAGAGCTATTCGGTTCCAAGCATCCTTACCTCTTGATTTTTGGGGACATTGTGTGATGCACGATGCCTTCATCATAAATAGATTGCCCTCACCGGTCATTGAGCTGTCTAATCCTTACTACAGACTATATGGGAAGAATCCAGATTTGATGAATCTCAAAGTGTTTGGATGCCTTTGTTATGCATCCAATTTGTCACCCTCTAGGCATAAAATGGAGCAGCGAAGTAGAAGATGTGTTTTTGTAGGAATACCTGCTCACACTAAGGGCTATATTGCTATATGATTTGCATGCTAAAAATATCTTTATATCAAGAGATGTGATATTTCATGAGTTATTTTTTCCATTCTCCCAGGAAGCTCTCTCAACAGATGTGGCTGAGTTAGAACCAACTGGACCTCCTCTTCCACTTATTCCTGTCAATACTCCTATGATCTATAAACCACTTCAAGTGCAGGTTTCAAATACCAGTCCACCTCACAATGCTAGCCCACCAAACTGCAGTATAACCCCTCAAGTGCAGGCTCCCAGCATTGATTCACCTACACAGCAAAACAGTTTTGATGAAGTGACTGGCTCTAATGAAACCTTGCGGGAAATGGAGCAGCATGACATTGCCTCAGCAGAAGAAAATGAGACCACCTTGATAATAGAACCACCAAGAAGGTCTGATAGGCAACGTCGGATCCTAAGTAAGCTTAAGGATTACTACTGTGATGCAGTAGTCCACAAAGGTTCATCCCCTCATTCTCTGTCACAAGTCATAACCTTTGATGTCTTAACTCCATGTCATAAGGCATTTTCCATAGCTGTGACATCAATCAACGAACCAAAGACCTACAACTAAGCTATCAAGGACAATCACTGGAAGGAGGCCATGACCAAAGAAATCCAAGCTCTGCAAGATAACAACACTTGGGAGTTGGTTGATTTACCTACCAGGAAGACACCTATAGGGTGTAAATGGGTGCCAGGAAGACACCTATAGGGTGTAAATGGGTGTACAAAGTCAAGATGAAAGCAGATGGATCCGTGGAAAGATATAAAGCTCGCCTAGTAGCCAAGGGCTACACTCAGCAACTCGGGATTGACTATATTGAAACTTTTTCGCCGGTTGCTATAATCACAACAATCCGAACGTTCTTGGTTTTGGCATCATCCCAAGCTTGGTACATTCACCAGTTAGACATCAACGCCTTTTTACATGGTGATTTAACTGAAGATGTATATATGGTGCTCCCTCCCAGATTCCAAAGTGCAAAACCAAATCAGGTCTGTAAACTTCTCCGTTCTCTTTATGGCCTGAAGCAGGCAAGCCGACAGTGGAATGCCAAATTAAGCGCTGCCCTCATCAACATGGGATTTGGTAGTCCAAAGTAGAACCGTCATTGTTTACCAGGGGGCAAGATAACAAGTTCATGGCAGTCTTAGTGTATGTAGATCACATACTGGTTACGAGTCCTGACCTACATATGATTGAAGATCTCAAATCATGGCTTGATGATGCTTTCAAAATCAAGGATTTAGGGGAACTAGGATATTTCCTAGGAATTGAGGCAAGAAGAGATGACTCAAGCCTAAATTTATGCCACAGAAAATATGCACTTGATATTCTATCCGAAGCAGGGTTCCTTGGATGCAAACCGATTAATTCTCTGATGGTACCAGGTTATCACCTTCATCATGATGACGGTACGATTCTAAGTGGCATTAGCAGCTACAGACGCCTAGTCGGCTGTCTTCTCTACCTCACAGCCACAAGGCCGGATATCACTTATGTCGTCCAACAATTGAGCGAGTTCATAGATGCTCCAACTGACAAACATCTGTCCGCTGCACACAGAGTGCTCCGGTATCTCAAAAATGTGCCAGGACAAGGGCTGTTTTATCCAAAAAGGTGAAGCTCTACACCTTAACATTTTTTCAGACTCATACTAGGCAGCTTGCATAGAGTCAAGGAAATCCATAACAGGCTACTGTATTTTCCTTGGATCTGCCCTTGTTTCCTGGAAGGCGAAGAAACAGGTGACGGTATCACAGTCTTCATCTGAAGCCGAATATCGTGCGCTCGCATCCACTGTGTGTGAAGTCCAATGGATCACTTTCCTCCTTCAAGACTTACAAGCACCCTTGCAGAAACCGGCAACCTTGTTCCATGACAACAAATCCGCAATAGCTATAACCGAGAATCATGTATTCCACGAGAGAACGAAGCATATCGAAATAGATTGTCACCTTGTCTGGGAGAAGGTGTCCAATGGCTTAATCAAGCTCCTGCCGGTCTCCTCTTCGAATCAGATAGCAGATGGCTTCACAAAGCTGCTTCCCATTGCTCTGTTTAAAAATTAAAACCTTTACATCTAAGTTGGGCACGCAAGATCTACATGCGCCAACTTATGGGGGGTGTTGGAGAATAAAAGTGATGAAGCTCGCAACAGCAAAGGAGGGAAAAATTGAAATGGCACTATGGACCTTTATCATCTTATTTTCTATTCTGTTACAACCTCCACCTTCTTGTATATAAACACCGTTCTTCATATTTCCAGAACAATCTTGAATAAATGAGTTTGTTTAAATATTTTCTTCCACCTTGCGTACATCACCATTTCCGTCAAAGCTACTAAAACAACAGAGGAAGAAAACATTTAGCGTTTAATTACCAAACAAATATTAAATTAACACATATTTCCTAGATACACTTACATGCTCTACAATGCAACAAACTTCTTATGTTGTTGCTACTGCCATTTCGTTCGCTAAATGGGGAATCGACCTATTAGGCCCTCTGCCAGTTGCCCCAGGGTGTTTTAAGTTCTGCGTGGTGGCTATCGATTACTTCACCAAATGGGTGGAAACCGAGCCTCTGGTTACCATCACTGAGTATCAGTGTCGACGTTTTTTATGGAAGAAGGTGATCTGTCGTTTTGGATTGCCCAAGCACCTAGTCAGCGGCAATGGTCGACAGTTTGATTGCCAACCCTTCGCGGATTTTTGTCGACGGCACAGCATTCGGCATACTAAGGTGTCGGTCGCTTATCCTCAGGCCAATGGACAGGTCGAGAACGTGAACCGCACCATTGTGGATGGCATCCGCAAAAAGTTAGAAGACATAGGAGGAACTGGGCTGATAAGTTGGACCGCGTATTATGGGCATATCGCACCACTCAGAGGCGAGCTACCGGCGAAAGTCCATTCTCGCTGGCTTACGGCTTTGAAGCAAAGGTGCCCATAGAGGTTGTCGAGCCCACTCACAGGGTCTGCCACTACACTGATGAGGGAAATGAGGAGAACCTAAGGATTGAAAAGAATTTCTTAGAGGAGCGAAGAGCGACAACGCATGCTCGCATGGTGGAGTATCAGCAGGCTATCAGAGATATCAGGATAAACGCATCCGACCCCGAGCTTTCCAGGTGGAGGACCTTGTCTTACATGACCGACAGGCCAGCCGACCCACCAATGGAGGGAAGTTCGCGGTCAAATGGGAAGGACCTTACCGGATAGCTGCCGTGATTCAAGCTAGCACCTACAAGCTGGAAACCTTGGAAGGGGAGCCTATCGACTGGATCTGGAATGTGATCCATTTGAAGAAATACTATCAGTGAAAGGTTAGCCCCCGTGTATTCGTTAAAACCCAGCCTTGACTGAGAGAAATAACAGGGCACTGACCCTTAAACGTTTCTAAGATAGAAAAAGCCTAAGGAGCGCCTAGACTAAGGGAATCGGCAAGAAAAGAGAAAAACAACAGGGCACTGACGCTTAAACATTTTTAAGATAGAAAAAGCCTAAGGAATCGCCTCGACTGAGGGAATCGGCAAGAAAAGAGAAAAGCAACAGGGCACTGACCCTTAAACGTTTCTAAGAGAGAAAAAGCCTAAGGAGTCACCCCGACTGAGGGACTCGGCAAGAAAAGAGAGAAACAAAAGGGCACTGACCCTTAAACGTTTCTACGATAGAAAAAGCCTAAGGAGTCGCCTCTACTGGGGACTCATCGAGAAAAGAGAGAAACAACAGGGCACTGACCCTTAAACGTTTCTAAGATAGAAAAAGCCTAAGGAGTCGCATTGGCTGAGGGACTCGACAAGAAAAGAGAGAAACAAAAGCACTTACCCTTAAACGTTTCTAAGATAGAAAAAGCCTAAGGAGTCGCCTCGACTGAGGGACTCGGCAAGAAAAGAGAGAAACAAAAGGGCACTGACCTTTAAACATTTCTAAGATAGAAAAAGTCTAAGGAGTCGCCTCGACTGAGGGACTCGGCAAGAAAAGAGAGAAACAAAAGGGCACTGACCGTTAAACGTTTCTAAGATAGAAAAAACCTAAGGAGACGCCTCGACTGGGGGACTCGGCGAGAAAAGAGAGAAACAACAGGGCATTGGCCCTTAAACGTTTTTAAGAAAGGAAAAGCCTAAAGAGTCGCCCCGACTGAGGGACTCGGCGAGAAAGAAAAATAGGGCATGGACCCTTAGACATTTCCAAGAATGAAAGCATAAGGATTCGCCTCGACTGAGGGACTCGCCAATGGAAGCATCGAAACTCAGAAGCTTGGGGAGCTGTGCTGATTTTAAAGAAAATGCAAGACGAAGAAAGTAAAGTACAAAGAAAAAAGGGAAGTTTTTTCATTAAAAAGGGCCAAATGGAGGACCGGCCCCTACAAAAACGATCAAAGGAAAGGGAGGCCTAAGCTAAGGGGGAGGACGCTGCAACTTCTTCGCCCTCGACTTTCTCACCCGCTGATGGTCCAGCAGGAAGAGCAGTCGAAGTGTCTTCTGGTTGAAGGGGCGCACTGCTAATCGGGGAAGCCATTAGACCAAGGGGCACCTCAGCAGACAGAGCCATATCAGTCGCCGCCGGCAAACTTGGTGGAGCCGGGGGAGAAGTTGTAGTCGAAGCCCCGGGTGCTGGAAGCGGCATTACCACCAGCTTGAGACCCCAAACCTCAGGCATGAAAGAGGGGTCGCGGGCCTGTAGGTTGGCATATAGCTCGAGCTATGCCTCGCGGTAGCCGAGCCGGTAATCGCATTCGCCCAGGTCGAGTAGGTAATCGTCACCCTCCGGGGTCGCCAGCCATTCCCTTGCTAGCTCCTCTCGTCGGCCTGTTATGGCCGACTTCACGTCCGCATCGAAAGCCGCTGACACCTTGTACTCGGCAACCGCAGTCGCCACCTTCTTCTGCTCCTCTTCCCACAGAAGAGTCACCTTGAGGAGCTCGGCTATGTGAACCTCCCTCTCCTTGGCGAAGGCAGCCTGCTCATCTTGGCGGGCCTCGTGCGACTGAAGCAGACGAGTGTTGAGGTTGTGCGCCCCAGTCTTGAGAGCTCGCATCCGCTTTCTCATCTCCAGTTGGAGGGCAAGGTTCTAAGGAAAGAATCATGTCAAAAGAGCGAAAGAAAGGGGGAAAAGGTTAATAGAAAGAGGGTCTGAGCATTCACCTGGTAGGATTGATGCAGAGAGGCCTCCAGGATGAGCTTGTCCTTCAGCTTAGCAGCTGACTCCAAATTCCGGGGCAGAAGCACGTGCTTGGCCCAAGCCTGAACCGAGAAGTTGCCCTACCATATCTACGTGTCCTCGCTCAGTTCCAAGCCCACTTGAATCTTCTTGCGTAGAGGAACTTCAGGTTGCTCCAGAGGTCGCTTGGAGCTCGGATTCCCTGTGGAGGTCGGTGGAGGACGAGAACGAGAAGCCACGGGGAAGGTCGACAAGTCCACCACGTTCCTGGGTGGAGTGACGCGAGACACCGGGGGAGGACGCGAAGTCGGAGTAGAAGGGGTACCGGTCGAGCGATGGGTCAACCGGTGCCTCATCTTTTCAGCTCGATCACCCATGGATTCGGCTTAGATGTCGATCTCCTCGGAAGAGTCGGAGACGGAGTCGTTAAGACCTGTACACCGGAAGAAACAGAAGTCAGCTGATTGCTTAAATGGAAAAGTAGGCAGAGGGGTCTAATGAAAGACTACCTGTGGTGGCCGCTCCAACAGGCAGAAGATCCCACTTCGCCATAGCCCGAAATCGCGACAATTGCTAGGCACAGTAGGGTCCCATCCTCTTCAGAAACTTGGCCCCCCCGGGTCGCCTCATTGGTAAAGAAAGCTCGTTGGTAGCAGGGTTTGAAGAGAGTGGCCGGCCACATGGTCGGGAATGCGAAAGGGGGGAGAGAAGGAGAAGGACGAGCGAAGAAAAAGAAGGGCTTCCAGTTCTTCACGGAATCTGGAAGACCCTCGAACAAAACACACCCGGGGCGGGCGGATATTTGTACAAAGCCCCGAGAGTGAGGTCCGACCTTGTTCACGGTGTACAGACACCGGAACAACTCTATACAGGGCTCGCAAAGCCACCACCGACAAAGGACTATGAAGCAGACTAGGAGACGGTGGGAGTTGGGAACCAGTTGGCCTGGAACCAAATTGTAATAACGAAAGATGAGGGAGAGGAAAGGATGGGGTAGCACTCGGAAGCCAAAGGCCACCGAGTGTAAGTGTATACCTACATAACCCTCCAGCGGGTCAAAAATGAACCAGTTCCCCGGAGGAAGAACGTCGGCCGATGGGCCAAGAAGAAAGCGGGCCAACTCGAGATCTACCTCCGATATCAACGACGGAGTAGCCACCGGAGGATCTATCGACTCGAAGCTACCCTTCGGCCGTTGAAGGACGTCGGGCAGAGCTGCCACCGTCGTTAGCGGGGCTGGACTCAGAGGAACAGCCGCCCCAGAAGAAGACGGGGCTGGCTGCGAGGAAGAAGGAGAAGGGAGGTCTGAAGGTACCTCCCGACGGTGAGAAGAAGAAGATGGGGAAGAGGACGGAGAGGACATGGTGGAGGACACCACCGGACGGTGAGAAGGTGAGGAGGAAGACGACATGGCTATGAAGAGGGGTAACCAACCTGAAAATATCCAGCGAAGTGAGAGGAGCTGGATGAAGGTGCAAGGTTCTCTGATCTTTCTCTCTTTGAAAGTGTGAGTAAAGGGAAGGGGTGAGGACACATTTAAATTGGGGATAATTCCAAGAGTCTGACACGTGTCAGCAGCATATTAGCTGATAAGAACGGTTGATTGATGTGAAGAGACAGGAGCATTTAATGCCCCTCAAAAAATGGAACGATGGTTGAGCTAAGGTTAGCCCAAGCGGCGCGCCTAGGCACGCGAAAGGTCAGAGTGACCCGGCCTGTTGAATCCCAGGCCCAATCTGATCATGAGATAGCTTCTTGGGCCATCTGGATGGTTATCTTACTCCGACAGCAAGGCTAGCCGCAGGCAAGCTGCAAGCTCGTCCGAGTGCATAGTCGCCAATGACAGCACAACTTCAGTATTCCCTGGGGCGAACACTAGGCCGACTCGACACGGTGTTGGAAAAAAG